ATGTTCGCGGGATACATTTTGTCGTGTTCCTGTAGCACAAAGTATCAACCTTTGTGGAATTTACGACCTTTGGGGAGTTCTGACGCTATGCGTTTTTCTTTTATTTTTTCATGATATTTCTCATTGCTGTTTGATAGTTGGATAGTAGCGATAGCTGTGAGCGTCAACGTATTCGTTTCTTCTGTTGTGTAATATTCATTTTAGGAGCTGGATTTGCTCGGTTCACCGAAGCCGTTCGTCTTCACGCTCCATTCGTTCCTGTCCGCTAAGGTCTACCGGCATGGGCTTTACGCGTGATGTAGGACTTTACACATAGCTAACACGAGCTTCGACGTCCAGGTTTTAGCGCTTTGATCGTCGACATTCGTTGTTGTCACGGTCAGCGTTACGAGTTCGATATTTCGACGCATTTTTCCTTTTCGTCCGTCTGTTTACCCTTCGCCGCTCGTCGTTCGTCCTCTATGTCATTGCGCATACGCTGCGCTAAACATTTGTTCGACGATTAATTTGCTGTGCAGATGCGGCGTTAATTGAACGGATCTGTTGTCGCACAGATGTACCGAAACAATGCAGCTGTTTGTAGGAAATGAGTTTTGTTTCTATATTTTAATTTTTTGAAGTTTGTTATATTTGTCTCCGTATTCTATTTTTTAACTGATCTCCTAATAAAATTGTTTCATACGTCTGCGTGTCGTATTCATCATTCTGCATCATCAAAAGTTGGGTTGCTATTGTATAAAACGAGCGTTGAAATAAGTAATATTTGATATTTTAAGGAAAACATGTTTTTCTTCTGCTGTCTGTTTTTCTTTTTTACAGTAAGTGCTTCATTATAATATGCTATACCGTACAGTGACCAATTTCCAAATTACGGTCACATACAGTGAAATTTTGATCTCTCTGTTAGAACTTTCATTGAAGAAGAAGAGCGAAAAGCAGGAATGCAGAGACCGGAAACAGCGAAACGACTTGAAATTATTTTTTCAAGCAATATGATTATGCATGAGTCGAATTTCCACACGGCAAACAAAGTATTCTGGCAGACCATCCGCCGGCTCCGAGCTGAAAAGACGGGCAGTTTCAGGGTCTTGAAGGACAGATCTGTACACCCTTTTACCAAGGATGATGACATTCTTCGGCGATGGAGGGAGTACTTTGAGGAACTCCATAACCCCGCGCAACAGCAGGAAGACTCGCCTGTAGAGCAGAAGGATAGGGATGTTACTCTCTCTGTAGATAAAATTACACAGGCTGTGAAAAGCTCATAAATGGAAAGGCTGCCCGAATTGATGAAATCCGTCCTGAGATGCTCAAAGCATTAGGCGAACAAGGCATGTGCTGGCTAACACGTGTCTGTCAAACTGCGATGA